CGACGCGCGAAATGTTGGCTTAGGGTAGGGGTCATATGCTTTAAGAAAACGGTTTCTTTTGCGAAGCGCCATCTTTTCTTAATCCCTTGGGTTTCGAGATTATAAGATTTTTGGCTCAAGGTTAATCTTGCAAACAATGGGCTGGATGTGTTGCGGAAAGCGGGATAGATGGCGCATTCTGAAAATGTTTTGGAGTTGATGGCAGCCAGCACCACGAGCATGTGCTGATTCGGGGTCACATGTTGGAAGGACATCCCGCCACCTGCCGCTGAGCCTGAAGAGAAGCATGAGGCCTTGGTTAATGTGCCTACGGAGGTTGTCAACATACTGGAACTGCAAGGCAACTTGTGTGGGCTGGCTTTAAACCAAGCCCTCTAAACCCGAAACCCTTATACCCAGATTCACAAGCTTCTGAATCTGCCAGGAGCCCGGAACTTGGGCGTCCAAGCCCACCCAGGCGGACGGGCTTCCAACCTTTCCAACAGGTAGGTCGTTCACACAGGATGTTGCCCTATATAACACATATAGTAGTTCCCTTTATTATAACCCTATAGTAGTCCCCTATATAATACCTTATACAAACCTCCTAGGTCATAACAGCGGTTCTTGGAACAACCGCGAAGCATGGAAATTTCGGGCAATGAAGCGCAGGCGGACAGGCCTGCAGTCTCATCTGCAGCTGCGTCTGCAAAGGCCCCGCATCACCCAGCATTCCAGTGCCACTATTGTTACTGCATGTTACTGCTACCCTGACTAGTGAGTAGCTGGTGCAACTTTACTTGGGCTAGGGTTGAGGGACGTCGTTGTGTTTGAGAACTGTGCTGCGCAGAGTCATCCTGCCAGACATAAGCTCAGCAGCAACCCTTCCCAAGCATCCACTCAGACAGAAAGCCCAAGCGGTGGTTTCTGTGACAGGATCCAGTCAGGGCATGGCCCTCAGATCTTGAAATGAAGGTTCAACAGGCTTTAGGGAGCTGTAAGGACCCGCAGGGACCGTCTAGGCAGGTTGCGGGGGGACACGCTCCTTTATAAGGATATGATGAGACTGCAAGGAAGCTCGTAGTGTCCTACAGGAGTCAAAGAGTCGCGGATCAAGTTGCGCAAGGGGATGACTACGGTGCATGGCCGGCTCGGCAAGCAACATCAACCCATGTTTTGAGATTTCCCTTCGCCATGTTCAGTGACCCCTTGAGGCTTCTGATGAGGCTGCGACCGGTTCAGGCAGTGGACCCGGTCATATCACGAAGAACGGGCATGCGGTTCGCAATTGTCAAAGTGGACACATTTCAAGCAGGCTGCAGTGCTTTCCACGTTTCAGGTTCGAGGTCTTGCACAGTGTGGGTAAGCAGCGGTTGTCGTGCTTGGGTTGCAGCCCGGCGGACCACTTGTGATGACCACACTGCGCAGGTTCACTGCACAAGCCGGTGGAGCGCCTGACTCAGCTTGCTCCACCGGGCCTGATGTAGGTCCAGCATCAAATCACTAACGCGGAGTAGAATTCCGCACACCTTTAATACTTCCACTCAAAATCTTGCGTCTGTCAGTTCAGGCGCAAAAACATTGTCGTCAGATGTCTGCTTTCTCTTCCCCAGCACAATAATAATGTCACCTGATGAAACGGATGGCCGGTCTGCGCCTTTGATGATGGCTGGATAATGTCAACAACTCTAGTCTTCCCATCGGGTCGCGCAAGGCACAGTGTCATGGTGATGGATCCAGACGACGGCGACGATGTCGAGGTCATCTATGAGGCTTCTGTGCTTCATGCACAGTCTCTAACCCCATGCGAAGCACAAGGCTGCGGGGTCGGGCACATTCCTGGCAGTTGGTTGTAGGAAAGTTAATCCCCAGCTCTTGCCTGAATCATGGGTACAGGCAGGGTTGACGAAGCTTAGCTTTGACCTGGGCGGTCAATTAGGCTGTCCGCTAGAGAAATCTGTAGAATGGCAATCGGCACATTTCGATTCTACGGAATCAGAGTCTTGTGATTGGTCTCATGCCGTTGCCAGGGCAAGAGAAGCCCTGAAGCCACTGAAGCCATAGATGTGCCCGAGACATCCGGGCTGAGGGAAGCCGAGGCCAGTGAATGCCAGTGCTGAATGGTCTACATCTTTGGTCAATGGGGTTTGCAAATGTTTTGCATCCCTTTGGGTTTGTACACCCATCTACAGAGTGTAGGCAATGCGAATGCATGTGATCAGGGTTGAGGGCTTGAAGGATTAAATGTCATTATATATAACGCTAAGCAAGCATTCTGGACGGCCACGGTCTCCTTCGCACTTGTGGGCAGTCGTGTTATTAACAGCAGGGTGATGACATGCTAAATCCTGTCATCCTTACGCGTAGGAACCCCAAGAGTTCAATATCTTTGAAATTCGACCTCTTTCCCTGGGGCCTTCTACCTGGAGGTCCCTGAGTGACATGCTTTTGAGATGTGCCAGCCAATGTGCATGAGTAGGAAGTTTCAATTGCAACAAGAACTGCCTAAGTACTGATGAGAAAAGACTGGGAAGGCGGACGGTGAAGCATGGACGGTAGAACAGATACACCAAAAAGTTCGGCAAGGTTATGAGGTTGATGGTCTCTGTGCGTGTGACATGAGTTTCAGATGTCATAGTAATCTTGGCAACAGTCTGAATGGCTTCATGTGTTAAGGATGGCAAGACCGACGTGGACTTGGCCCTTGCCCTTGTTGCCGACGCCGAGCCTGCGCAAATTTGTAGAGCTCCGAAGCGGAGGGTTTAGGGAAGTTGTTGATCAGTCCAAGCATTCTCGCGAAAGGACCCCTGGGCCACTCTGACGGAGGATCTGACTTTGCCTGGCAGAGTGCTGCTCTGTGGCCAGGTAGACGATGAGCAAAAACCCGTCCTCTCGAAGCAGCAGCAGGAAGAGGCCACTCTAATATGGAAAGGTGTGAAGCTTTTGCAGGTCTGGGCTTTGGGGATCGGGCCGGGCCAAGTAAGCATGCAAGCAAGTATTCTTCGTGAAGCTGCGGTCGAAACCGATCTCCCGCCCTTAAGTTTTTTTTTCAAATATCTTTTCTCGTTGTGACTTCGCCTTAAGGCTAACGAATCAAGTTTGATTCAAAGCTGTTGAACAAGTGCCCAAATCTAAGTCTAACAAACCAGCACTAAGCGCTGAACCCTAAACCCTTAGCCGTATGACTCTCAACAGCGATAGCCAGATCCTCCCAGGCACCCTGAACACTCCCAAGCCCTGCGGACAACAAACCCCCAAAATATTCTCCACTCCCCGAGGCCTTGAGCATAAATCCTAAAATCAAGCAATGTTTGCATCCACAGCCCTGAACACCTTAGCCCGCAACTCAATCCCCAAGCATCCAGAGTCTAACCCCAAGACCCCAACCTCTACTCTGCTAAACCCGTGGCTCCCAAACCTGAAGCTTGGACCCTGAGCCCCGGCAACCCTAAACTCCAAGCCCTGAGCCTAAGCTGTACCCCCAAACTCAAAACATCCCTAAAAGGCTCGACCCTGAAGTCAAAACCCCAAACCCTATGAGAGAGGGTTCTGGTGTTTGAGGGCACGGTTTCTCGCAAGGGTTCGGGATGTCGGCTTAGAGGCGTTTGCCACGGTACTAGGCTTTGCTGATGCATTTCGCAGACGGGAAAGAGGTCCGAGAAAGCCGCAGAAGCTCTCAAGATTATCTGCTGATCCTGACCTCCTGACCCATGGGACATTGTTTCGAGCTGCACCCCCAAGCCTGAAATTCTGATGGCGCCAGGCGGCAAAGATGGCTGAGCATCGGAAGCGCTTCGACAACCAGAGGCAGATTTGAGCAGGTAGATATGTGCAAAAGTTCGAAATCCCACCTAAGAAGGGTAGAGCTGAACATGGCGATCCAGACTAGACTTTGACCTTAATCACTTCATTGGGCGTTTGCACACAAGCAGGATAAGCTCCTGGGCTCAAGCCTCATTCAGTTGGCTAGATTATAGGGATTATAGGAATACATTGGGGTTACATCGGGATAATGGGAAAGAACATGGAAACTACTGTTGACAAGTCTGATAGAAGATCAAGTCCTCCAAGGCTGCGGCCTTCACTTAGCAGGGCGTGAAGAGGGATTGATCCCACCCGGGTGGTCCAGCAAAAGTCCCACAGTTGGTGCAAGTTAAAGGATCAGGTCTCAAGCCTGAAATTTGTATGCTTTAGCATGGGGTTTTATCCAGGTCAATTCCTTGGGCCTCATCCCAGAACAAGACGGTTGTCAGTGCCTTTGAGAAGCGAAATCCAGTTACAGGGGTTGGGATTGGGCTAAATTTCTTTTCAGACAGAGCGCTGGACAGAACCAGTTTGACAGTTGGCACTTGTTAGAGAGCTTGCATTTATGGTTAAGCGCGAAAACCCCAGCAAGGACACGGGAATGGGAAGCTCAGGCTGCTGTCATTGATGTAGCTCTTGCGGTAGTGCGTCTGGACGAGTACCGTTTCCAAACCAACACTTTGATTTCAGAGTAAGAGAGGTGACTTCAATGTTGCAAATCTTACATCTTCAACCCACGGGAGACTTTTCCACCAAACTTTGGACCCTTATGACATGGTTGGGGTCACACATATGTCCTGTGCAGGTATCAGCGAGGGCAGTCCGGTTCTGGCGAAACAGGCTCCTCTGTGGGTCATTTAAGGTTAGAAAGCATACAGCAACGTCTTGTCTCTTGTCTAACAATTTGCTAAGGGAAGCTTGACCTGTCATGAGATGGAATGTATGTGGACCAATCTTCATGTGCGAATGAATGAGCCACTCAGTCTTCGACCCCTGAACCACAAGGATTATGGAAAGAGAGATGGGACGGGGTACCATCTTGACTTTCAAGTGTTGTTCTGCTGAATGACCTCATGCCACAGTCATTTTTCTTGCTGCTTTTGTCACTGTCGGGCTTTTCTCATGGTTGGACTTTGCCAAGCCCGGATTGACTGCCAAGCTGGCAGACCCATTTCCACGCTACTCGTGTAACTTTCCGATTCGTTGCAGTCCAAACATGCACAGAAACATACGACTGTTATTCTTGGTTCTAGTTTCGATGTCAGTCAGAATCCTGGGCATTCAAATGTGGATGTGTCAAGTCACTGTCCTCGCAGGACCTGGAGCTGCGCCGGTGCCGGTACCGGCAATCCCTGCAGCCAAGCAGGCCGGTGTGGTCTATGGTGTTCACATGAGACTGCAGAAATCCCGTTCAGAAGGTGTTGATTTGCTCACACCTAGGCCCTGAGTCCCTGCGTTCCGAAGCGCTACATACATGTAGCCGAGCTGAGGAGAACAAAGCTGCCCATGAGATCATGGGTGTGACTCTCAGAACTTGTGCTGCCTGCCTCACTTTTTGATGTAGGGCTGGGAGCACTGGATATCACTGGGTGACAAGGTTGAGACACTGGGTTCAAGGCCTTCCGACAAAGCCTTAGCACCCTGCTGCTTGCCGAGGTATGAATGCTTCGGTTTCTCCCAGAAAGGCACGCTAGGGTGGTCGGTGGGACTTGTTGCAAGGTTAGTTGTGGAAAGCAGTGCCAATGGCAGCAGAGATAGTGGTGGTGGCAGCAGTTGCAGCAAAATGATAGACCAGTAATTTTTTCTTCAGATCAATCCCAACAGGAATAAGACATAGTTACGTCTACTGGGCACAGAAAAGCATCCTTGGAGTGCAGCGTGATAAGAAATACAATGCTGTGACATAGGAGTGCTGCATATTCATCTCTGAAAAACATTTGCTAAAGTGATGGGTTCTCCTGCCCTGTTGTAGCAAACTCCGTACCTTTCTCGAGCAGAAAATTTCCAGTACTCTGCAGGCTTCCATTTCCTAAGCTCGGAATTCAAAAGGGATAGAGCAGGAGCAAATGTCTTGCCATGATCTTTGAAAGCACAGTGATAGGACGTCAAAAAATCCTGCGATTGGAGCTTCAGCCTCAAAACCTGAAAGCCAGGACTTGCTTCACACCGCAGCACAAGCCCATACTGCAAAACTCCAGGGTTAGGGCTTTAGGTTTGGTGGATGCACCTAGTCTTCTTGCCCATTTGTTTGTAAGGGTTCCGAATAATTTCCTGGAATTCTAAAGGCTTGCTAGGGGGAATGAAAGGGGATAGACAATTAGGGGTTGGCCCACGTTTCTCAGAATGCCTACGTTTTTTCATATCAAATCCTCGCGGACTAGCAGCAACACAGGCAGCAGAACGTAGTGGGAGTAGCAGCCTCAGCAGCGCCTCCAAAGTCTGATGAAGCCCCAAGCCTTAATCCAAAAACCCTAGAAACCTGTAATCCTAGACCATTACCCTTAAACCCTAAACCCTAAACCAAAAAAACATTCTTCATTTGCTATGCAAAGGCCCTAATACTTACAGGAGCCTAAATGATCACCAAGACTATGGTCCTAAATTCCTTGTATAACTATGCTATAGGGTACCTGAATCGGACCACTGCTATATAGCCCAGTTTACGTTTTCTCTCCCATGTGGTTTTCCGCTATTGCCCCTGAACCCTGAACTCCCACATATCCTCATACCGCTTTCAAAGGATGTAGGGTTTCCATTTGATTCTCCATTTTCTTTTCCATTTGATTTCCCACTATTGGATTTCTTTAAGGCCCTAGGCTAAGTAAACCCTCAGGCCCCTGAACTCAGCAAACCCGAAGTCCTATACACCGTAAACCCGAAGTCACAATCTGTCAGCAAAACGGACAAGCCATAAACCCTAAGAACTAAACCCTGAACTGAACCTTATACCCTAAACCCTAAACCTAAACTTTAAGGGGCTTACGCCCTGGTGCGCAAGCGCAGCATTTTGTGGGCTTGCCAGCAAAGATAGGTTAAAGTAAATTGAAGGTCGGGCCAATTCACTTAAAGTGTTTTTCTGGCTTTCTGCCTTCTGGGCATTTCCTGACCCTGCCTTTTGCAGGGTTCTTGGCCTCTTCTGGGCCCCCGCGGTCCTTCAGGCCTTCTCTGGGCCCTTTTCTGGGTCCTGGGCCCTTGCCGAGCCTCTTCTGGACACCGTGCCTGTTGTGAGCCTTTTCTGGGCTTCTAGGCTTCTGCACCTTTACCGGGACTCTTGAAAAGCAGTTAAAAGATGAGAGGGTTCGGTAAAGTGGAAATGCATCTAAAAGTGTGAACACTTTTCTGGCTTTTTGTTGGGGCCTGCCCGAAGCTCGAGCTGAGGGCAGACCCCTTTTCTGGGCTCCCGGGCCGGGCTTCTGGGCCTTTTCCGGGCCCCGGGTAAAAGTGTGAGAACGTTCGTTAAATGCAAATGCATCCAAAAGTGTGAGCACGCTTTTTGCTTTTGTTGGGGTCTGCCCTAAGCTTGACCCCAACAACAAGCCAAAAACGTGCTCACATTTTGGGAGCGGAAGGGCCTAGGAGGCCCCTGGAAGGCCTGGAAGGCCCGGGAGGCCCCTGACACCCTGAAAAACCCTGGGAGGCTTCTAGGAGACCCTTGACAGGTTTTTGGAAGGTTTGGAGGCAAGAAGGTTTCTGGCAAGCTTTCTGGGAGGCCATGCAAGGCCCCTGGAAAGCCCCTGAGAGGCCCCTGAGAGGCCCTGGCAGGTCCTAGGAAGGTGCGGGAAGGCCCCTGCAAGGTCCTGAAACTGGCAGGTGCTGGGAGGCTCCTGGAAGGGCCTTGCAGGGCCCAGAAAAGGGAAGGGCCTTTGCAAAGCGGAAGAAGCATCTAAAAGTGTGAGAATGTTCGTAGAATGCAAGTTCTATTAGAGGCTAGGGCAGATGCCTTGAGTTGACCTGGGCGCCGAGCTTCGCAAGGCCGCCCCTGGGCAGTTCTCGGAAGGCCCCTTGCGCAGGGGGGCTCCCAGAAGCCTCCCAGAGGGGGGCCTCCCATGGGGATTTGTTAACAATTTGGGACGGGGTGCGGCTTTGCAAAGCGGAAGAAGCATCTAAAAGTGTGAGCACGTTCGTAGAATGCAACTTTCGATTGAGTGTTAGGGCAGCCCCCTTAAGAGCGGGAGTTGTCCTGGGCGCCCGCTGCGCTGGCGAACCCTAAACCCTATACATCCCTATACCCTAAACCCTAAACACTGCTGCCGGGCGACTTGGCGATGCCTTACGCCTTGGTGCTGGCTGCGCAGATTGGCTTCCTGTACTGAGAGGTAGCTGGTAATCATGGTAGCTGGTTCTGTGTGCCCTGTTGGCTCGTGATGTCCCATGGATTTCATGTCCTGGTTGTGAGGCATCATTCTCCCATTTTGGGAAATGTTGCAACTTATGTTTGACACTGATGGTGTCTGGCTTGTGAAGTTGGGTGAGTGGCCAATGAGAGCAAGGCTCCCCTCGCCTAGTGGCTGGCACAGACAAGGTGCGATAGGGGTGTTTAAAAAAGTCCTAAACACTGAACCCTAAATCCTGAACCCTGAACCCTGAACCCTAAACCCTAAACCCTAAACCCTAGACACCGAAAACTCGAGGCCGGTCTGGAGGAGTGCCTCCCAGGCGGTATCCTTGAGGATGGCTTGGGGCAGGCGCCGGGGCTCCGCTTTCCTCTCCTACAGTCTAAAGTCCTCAAAGGGGGTTATATAAGGATTATAGAGGGGATGATATAGGGGAGCATATAGGGCTTGTTAAGGGGAGTTTAGATTATGAATGGGGGGTCCAATATACAATAGTCCTTGTTATTGGGATCCCAGGAAGGTACCTGAAACCCTCATATCTCTATGTAGCGGTGACCGCAACTTAGGGGGGCAGCTCTAGCAACAGCGGCCTTTGTTCCACCCCAAAATACCATAGTCGTTATCATGCCAACCCCGAAAGAAGTTGCAATGCAAAGGGGCATGATGAGGAAAATCAAGCCTGGTTTCGGATTGTCATCAGTCCGTTGGCTAACAGGCTGGTGGCTTATACTTTTGTTTCATGCTTGTTGTGGTGAATGTTATGGTCCTCGTGGTCACGCTGGTGATCTTGTTTCAGTCTTGCTGCGGTTAGCATGAGGCTTCTCGTTTGATGTTGCAAAAGCAGCAGCATGTCCATATGTGGCACCCGGACTGCCTGATTCTTACGCGCACAGCCCCCGCGCTTGCAGTCCGCCGTGCCCGTGCGTGAGCAGCGGAACAATCACTTCGACGACGACGACGAGATGCTGATGAAGGCTGGAGACCGGCTGTTCCCATGCTTAGCTTGTCACGGCGCCGTCATGCAACTACGTCATTGTTGTCGTAAAGGACGTAACGTGTTTTTGAAGGGGCCTGGTAGTATTCACGCTGGATCATTGTGAACGGCAAGATCCTCATGATTCCGCAGATGTTGCCAGGCAAAGCCGGTAGAATCAAGTAGAATCACTGCGGCAAGCTCAGAGACGCCAGGAGATTCTCGACAGCATCGACGGCTAATCGTGGAAGTATGCGGCAAATCTTGTGAATTGGCGCTGCGGGCCTGGCTAATGCAAGTATGATGACATGGTGTTGGGCATGTTTTGCGCTCATTTGTTCATGAGGGCATGTTAGAAGAAGTACTGGGTGTTCAAGCATGTTTCATTCAACACCAGGGCCAACAGGTAGCTCTAACCCGAAAGCTCGCACAAACAGCAGCACAGTCGCAATCCTTGAGCTCAACCTGAGATGACTGTTGCTCCACCAATCCTATGTTGCTGCCCTGCCATTTTAAGTATGCCAAATCCAACCAGGACTTTTGCCCCGAAACCTCAGGCTCTCTTCCCTCCACTAAATTCCAAAGCGCGAATTCGGATACCATACTCCTACCTCAGCACCCTCCTGTGGCCATCATCAGACAGCGCCCGCAGAGAGGATATTTACCCAGCTGCTGGGACTGGTACAGAAGCGCGAAAAGAAGTATTACAATAGATCTCCATTATCCCAACCCAAGACCTTGAACATCAGACACAAAAAACGAAAGTTACTGCGTAGAACTTGAACATAGCCTTAACAGGTTTGGTTGGCTGTCTATCTTTTCATTCTGGGTGTTCCTTCAAGCTAGGCTGTTGCAGTTGGGCTTGGAGGACTGTTGGAGCCGATGGCAGTTGAGAAGGCATTGGAAAAGATGGCCCGCAAACTTCATCCCAGATGCCGGAGAAGTGGTGTAAGAGGAGGAGGAGAAGGGGGAGTACTTGCAGTTGTAGCTGTACTAGTACTAGCAGCAGTAGCATTAGCAGGAGTAGCGGCAGCAGTCGTAGTAGCAGCAGCAGCAGCAGCGGTGGTAGTGGTGGTGGCGGTGATGAAAGCAGGAGGCACAGCCGCTACTCGTTGAAAGCCAAGCCGTGGTTTCCTTTTTTTCTAGCCGTGCCCCTGGCCCTGACCTTGAAGGCTTCCCGTGCAGGGTGCTTTACAAAGCTAGCTAAGTAGCGAATGAGGCTTCGAGACATGCTTCAAAAGAGTGTTGTGCCCTGCTACCATGCGTGTTCTCAATTGCGTGGGCAGGGCCGTGGTTTGGGGCTGACAGGATGATAGCACATCTTGTTTCCTTGAGGCTTTCATTGTTGTATTCAATAGTGTAGGTTGCAGCCCATAGTTCTTGCTTCTGTTCCAGTACACGTCAAGCTCCACAATTGTGCTGTGGATTCTATGACGCAATCCCCCAACCCCCAACGCTACCATCCAAATCCCAAGCGTCTCTTCAATAAGCAAGTCCACAGGCGCTCCGTTCTCAACTCCCGAAATTAAGCCGGAAGTCCCAACGCCTGAACCTCATCTCTCATGGATTAAACACGCGCGTCGGGCGAAGACGGCCCCAACCTGACCCAGAGCTGGGACAAGTTTCACTGGGCGGCAAGATGCTTCTCGAACAATATAGAAGGATAAAGGCAAGTAGCTCAAGTGTACATGGTGTGGACTTCTTTGACTGGAGGAACGGACTTCCTCTTCCCTAGTTCCAGCCTCACAGCTTGTGGGTCAGAGGATTCAGGTTGTCGCTATTCAGCTTCTGCGGGGCTTCATGAATTAGGGATCTTGTTTTGGGTGGGTCCACATAATAAGGATCTCGTTTTTGGAGTATGTAAGCTGTAAGCAGTGACCTCGCCTGTATGGTGCCAGATTTGCTTGTGTCATCTTGTGTCCGTTTTGAGATTCCAAGTGCACAGCTCTAGAGCTCTTGATAAGAGCCGCATATCGTAAAACCTTGAGGCCCCAGCCATCCCTGTATCTTAAACCTCTCAATGGCAAAAGGAGATTGCACCACTGCTGCCAAGCGAACCGCAGCCTTAGCTCGCGTGGTGTGACTCCCAGACGGCTAACCTGCCCTCAGGGAACAAGGAGGTGCCCAAAGCACGGACAGATCGATGCTTCAACAAATTATTGCCGTGGCAAGTGTGTAGAGAGCCCTCTAAAGTATCTGAACGTACGGAGCACACAAGTCTGTGGAGCTTCACTATTTCCCTGATAGTTGTCACCACTGCTGTTGCCAGTGCGGTACAGCTGAATTCCCGATTTCAATTTTTGTTCGCACACTCACTGGATTGATCGGTCAAGCCAGGTTTTCACGTCGACTCCGTGCTAAAAGTACGGAGCATGCGGGCAGCAGCATCTTGAATCTTAAGACTGAATCTTGTGAAATAGATCTTGATATTTCCGTTGGAAACCCTGAAAAACATCATGGCGTCATGGAGAAGCAGTAGGAGAAGAGGATACCAAATGGAGGCAGACTTTAACAGCTGCCACCCGCCGACGGTTTCACCAAAACAATACATCTCTGAAGGAGACTGAAAATCTGATCTGAAATATATTTGACACGGCCTGTCGGTCTTGTCAATCGATTTATCAATTTGTCGATCTGACCATCTATCTGCTGTCGATTCTGTCGGTCTCTCATTCTGTCGATTCGGCGCTCTCTGAAATCTAATTATCTCTTGATAAACGATCTTGTAACTTATCATTCTGTCTATCAAGCGGTTGATTATTTATTAAATGATGATAAAGAAGGCCTTTTGATTTATCAATCTTTCAATATTTTAATCGTTGGTAGATATCAAATAATCGATTGTATGATCTCTTAGATTTATTATTCTCTCTATTTATCGATTGATATTCTGGGAATTTATCGACTTGAACATCTATTTATGATTTTTTTTATTTTCTCGTTATTCATAATAATAGAAAATATTTCTTCGATAATATTCATAATGAGAAAGCTGATGAATAAACTAAATTCTAAGATCGTATTTAATCTTTTAAATGATTGCATTTATTAAAGATGATAGATTTTATTTTTTTTGCGGGGAGCAAGGTTTTTGGGCATTCGTTGGAGGGAATATATTCGGATATATGATCTGGAGATTTGATATTGCGCTTATTTTCTTCTATAATGGTAATATACGGAATTTTCTGGAGAGGGGAGTAAACTCGAAATTTTGATCTTTTTTTCGCGCTCTGGATCTATATGATCTTCAGAATCATCGCGTAGATTATATCTGCGATGATCCAGGGGAATCTATGAATTTCTATAGATGACTATGACTAACTTATGAAAGATTTTGGCTCTCCGCTCTCATGAATTCATAGGGAAATGAAGAGAGGTCATATATATACGAAATCGGAGCAAATCGAAAGATTTTGGATTTCTGCTCCGGGTCTTTATAATCTCCTAAATCGTTGCATAGATATCCAAAGAGAGATTAATATCTCGACTTAAAATATTGGACAGAAATAAATGGCTTCAAAATCTTGGAGATTTTGATATGAGAGGTCCGTAGATATTCATCTACGCGGCTCTGGCTTCTGGATTAAATTTTTTCTACGTAATTTATCTCTCTTTGGGCATTAGGGCGAATGCTCGGCGGAATACATAAATTTTAGATAGAATTTGGTATAAATCTCCATAGATGAATTTCCATCCCAGATCTTCGTGCGCCTTCGAATAGCCATATCATCAATCAAAAAAGGAAAATCCTATGCAATATATAAGATCATATATGAATCCCAATGAATAATCTATAAATAAATCCGCACGTGATCAAAAACGATCAATCCAATAGATTCTGAAAGAATTTGGATCTTGGCCCCGGGTCTAGATCGAGCCGCCGCATAGATAGCTCACGAGAGATAAATACGCAGGGATCGCGCGCGGCTGATCAAAAATCTCCCCAGATTTCGAGCTATTTCTCTCTCTTTGGCTATCTGCGCGGCGGCTCGGCGGAACGTGAATCTCGGGGCGGAGATCTAAAATCTTTCAGAATCTATATGTCACGTGCAGACTTAAAATATTATGAATTCATCGATTTTCACGTGCGATCTCATATATTACTTGATCATCGGATTTTCCGTCATCGATTTTCTCGAATAAATATTTTCGTTGCTATAGGAAGCGGGCCAGCTCTAATTGATAGTTATTCTTTCGATTTATTATGATATAAATTTTTCTATTCAAAATCTCCCTTTCATTTTATGATTTTATATCAAATAATATAGTATAAAATTAGATTTAGATTTCATTTTAGATATTTATTGATTTGATTTGATTTGATTTCGATATTGATGAATTGAATATCCTATTCTATTATCTATTCTCTTCATTTTCTGATAAATCATTTTGATCTCGAGATTATTTGCCAGATTTGAAATTGAATAATTTTTCATTATGATAAGGATTATTCGAATGATTACGATATTCTTTTTAGATTTCTCTATTTATTTTTTGATATCTATTTATTTGATGATTTATTCATATAAATATTTCTATTTATTCTTATATATGTCCTTTCAATATGAATATATATCTAATCAAATACTATTCTCTATATTTTCTATTTCTTTTTTGATATTCATCTCTATGAATATATTCATATATGAATATTTATTGATTTTTTCTCATTTATTTAGATTTTTTTGGAAAATATATTTCTATATCTATCATTACGAATTGAATATATCAATAATTGAATAGAATGAGGAATGACGTAATCTTCTAATTATATATATTCATGATTTCAATATCTTTCTGATATTATCGAGATATATATCTGATTAGGAATAATAGCCGCCTATATCATATTGAATGATTTATATATAATTTTCGTCTTATCATTATGAAATCATCTTTTCCTTCTTTTTCTTCTTCGCGATGGAAGCTATCTATGAAGAATTTCGTCGAATATTTGCCTCCATAGAAATTGAGGATTTCTCGCGTTCTCTATCTATCTATGATGATCTATCAATTCGATTATATTATCTATTCTTATCTCTCTATTCGAATATATATATATATCCATTATCAATCGATCCTTTATACGGTCCTTCCGATAAATCTAAAATAGGGAAGAATATTAGATCCTGATCTTATATTCAATTTTCTTTCTGATATCTCTCTTTATATATAATCGTATTTCAAATTTTCAATACGAATATTTCAAGAAAAGATAGAATAAGCAATATTTCTCTCTATC